GCCAATTTCATCAGCTACCTCAAGTATGAGGCTGTCTGTGTTTTTACCTACATGTTCAGGGATTCCATACATTCTTACGTTATTTCTTCCACTATACTGTCATGTTTCATTAAAGTCGTGCGACTTGCTGGCTTATGTGAGGTCCGAGACTTTCTTCTCGAGAGTCTAGTTTTCCTTTATGTACTTATTTTATCAACTTACTTACTTACTTACTTAGGAGATTTAACGTGCGCTTTCCGACTGATGCGTATTTCGCACACGGGCCCGGCCAGGCCATTTAATGTGTTTCCGAAAGGGGCGAAAGTGGTTTTTATCAAACAGTGGATTCAGTTTTGTATCAAACTTTTCAGATACACTGGATTCTATCTTGTGCATTTCATCCCTATCATCCCTATGCATTTAATCATGTACATGAGAAAACTGTTCACCTATTATCATCAAATAACAGTTAGACACTAATTGAACACAGTTCACCCTCAGAAGAGGGTTCGCTCTAATGACACAGACTTTACCAAGCGATTAAGTGATCTGTGTCTCTTAATCCCCTATAATCCACTATAACAACATTTGGGGTGAGGGCACAGTGAGGTTAAACCACTTTTTCTTCCACCTACTATATATATTCTGTCCCATTGGCTTCAACCTATGTGTTCTCGGTCCATCGTGTTGTGACAGTATTATCCTTCTGTTGTCATCACTTACTCATGTTATCCCACTCATGTATGCAATTGTTGTTACTGTTAATCCTCTACTGTTAATCCTCCACCTACTATATATATTCTGTACAATGACCCTCATGTCGTCTTGCTTGACAACGGTAAAAGGATCTACACCGACACGTCGCTTTTTACAGTATTAAAGAAGTTGTTATCCATAAAATTGTGACAGTGGGCTGACAAATGGGGCTTCTCCCTTAACTCAGAAAAAACAACAGGAATAGTATTCAAACACAAAAACATGAAACCCGCCTCCCCAATCCTCCAGCTAAACAATCAAACAATCAAATTTCAAAAACAAACCAAATTCTTAGGACTTATTTTCGATGAACATCTCACCTGGGATGCTCACATCCAAAACCTAACAACTAAATGCAGTAAAGACCTAAACACCCTAAGATGCCTAACTGGTTCTAACTAGGGAGCATCCAAAGATACCCTCCTCTCTCTCTACATATCACTAATTAGATCAAAACTAGACTACGGCTGCGTCATATACAACACCCTAAACAACTCTCTATCTAAAAAACTTGACTCAATACAATATCAGGCTCTCAAACTAATTACACGCACCCAACATGGCACCTCCTACACCTCACTTCAGGCCTTAACAGGAGAAATGCCACTAAGTCTACGCAGGGAACAGCTAAGCTTAAATTTCTGGGCCGCGTCCCAATCAAACCCTCTCATCCAAAACTTAATAAACCAAAACATCAGCCCCAAAAACCAAGCTCTAGCTCGTAAACACCCCTTACTTACCCCAATATCCCAAAGAATAACAAACTACCTAAATGAACACCAAATTAAAAATCTTAAACAAAACTGCAAACAATCAAATATCTTCACCCCTAAACTTAAAATACCCAAAATAGACACAACACTAGCTAGCCAAATAAATAAACAAACCGACCCAAACATAGCTAAAACTACCACACTAGCATACATACACGAAAATTGGCCAAATTGGTGTCACATTTACACGGACGGATCCTCAGATCCGACCTCCAAACACACAGGTTTCGGAGTCCATACCACACAACCAACTAAAACCACACAATCCTTCCGACTCCCAAACAACCAATCAATATTCACGGCAGAACTAATGGGCATGGCCTCAGCCCTCCATAATCAAGAATCCAAAAACCACAAAAAAATCCTAATACTTACCGACTCCCTAAGTGGACTGCAAGCCCTCCAAAACAAAAATACCAAAAACCGACCTAAATTAATAAATCAAATACTTAAAAGCTCCAACGACCTAACTAAGGCAGGCAAACAAATAACCTTCTTGTGGATACCCGCCCACGTAGGAATATACGGTAATGAAAACGCCGATAAAGCAGCTAAACTATCCCTCAAAATCCCAGAAATAAGCTTAAACTTACCCATCTCAAAATCAGAAATTAAAAGTGTAAACAAGCAAAAAATCACCAAAAAATGGCATAACCTATATCTAAACTCAAATAGCCAAATCAAAAAAGTGCTCAGCAAACCACTAACCAAACCAAAAATTCTCCATCCATCCAAAAAAATCGACAGAGTAATCACTAAACTCCAAACAGGACACACCAACCTAAATAACCACCTAAAAAAATTTAAAAAACACACTACAGGTAACTGCCCACATTGCAAACAACCAGAAACCCCAGAACACGCACTCATCCACTGCACACACTACCTAACACATCGAACCGCATTACAAACCACCCTCAATCTAAACAAGGCTCTAACTCTAGAAGCAATACTAAACCCACAAAATAAACTAGAAAACTTCAAGGCCTTAGGCGTATTCTTAATCAAAACGGAACTAATAAAACGCATCTAAAAACACAATAACTCACCAAATCAAAATCACATAAACAAACAAACATCCACCATACCCAGCTCCCTTAGTTCTCCTCCCCAATCCCATCGGCATCTATTCCAAATCTCAAAATTCCTAAATTCTATATAAGCAACCCCTAAAACCTCCCTCTTGGGTTGCACAGACCACCTTCGTCCCTTTCGGAAACACATTAAATGGCCTGGCCGGGCCCGTGTGCGAAATACGCATCAGTCGGAAAGCGCACGTTAAATCTCCAAAGTAAGTAAGTATAAAATTGTGTCTACCTAATCTGCTACCTCCTATTGTGGTTGACATCATGAGGATCCTACACATTACTTCTTTTCATGTCTTAACTATTGCAGTCTTCGTAATAATACGTACTACTGCATTAAAAGGATACTTTACTTGAAAGGATTTGGTAAACAGGCCTAAATGGCTAGTTCAAATACCGTCCTGTTACATTGGTACATTTGTTGTGTAGACATCAAACTTTAAGGTTAAGAAGCAATACAAATAATATAAAAAGGCCACTTATGTTACCAAAACTACAGTGATATTCATATCAACTTAACATGTAGTCATACTCAATGTACAAATCCTCAACTATTTTCCATAAAATTATGTCAGATATAACTGTGTTGTGGCTGGCATCTCTTGTTAAATTATCCCACTGTTTTCAGATCAAACCCTTTATGTAGAAGTACATGGTGCTTCTAATGTTACAACAAGTAGGGCAAGTGAAGAAGAAGTGAAGTGGAGTCTACAAATATAAACTGAACTGACATTCTGCCATGTTTGAAATGTCATTTATCTTTAAGACTCCAATTCCTAAACCAGCGTGAACAATGTGACAATATCGAGTACTGTAGTTTAGGTCAAATAGGTATGCAATTTTCAGAAGTATTCAATGGCTTTAAAAATGGACATTACCTGTATTCATTATCATATGGAAATCCTGAAACAAGGCTGAAGTGGTTGCTTATATAGTAATTTTGAAATTTTGAGATTTGGAATGAATGCCAAGAGTAGGTGGAGGACGAACTAAGGGAGCTGTGTGTGTTGGGTGGTTGTTAGATTAGGTAGTTTTGGTTTTAATATTTTATTTGGGTTTAAATGCGACTAATTAGTCCTGTTTTAATTAGGTATATGCCTAAGGCTTTGAATTTCTGTAAGACCATCCATTGCCATTTATATTACTGTGACCTATCAGTGCAAATTACCACAATTACCATACGTTTGGCCATTGGCTATTACCAATTAGTCATAATGTAAGCCCTGGCTTCCAGTTGTCCATTGATTTCACCTATCAGCGTAACTGTTGGCTTCCCTTGTTAAGTTTCCAACTTTGTAATCTTCTTGCTTCTGTTGTTCTTACAGGAACAATTATATGTTCTCTGCTTCGTGAAAATTACGAGTATTCATCTGATGAAGGAGTAAGCATATACTCCGAAACGTTGTGATCCTCATAATAAAGAAGTTGATATCCATAAACTCTCTTCCTTCCTTCCAATATTTCTATTTTCTTATATTGATATGATTTCATTTTTATCCTTGGCTGCTCTATTTATATACGTTCGAGTAGCTGCCCATCTCTCAGAAATAGAGATAGTTTGGCCTTCGCTATTGCATCTCTTGGCTTTAGGAGATCTATGACAGATAGCGGATCTCACTTCAATTCTTGTTTTAATAAAGCAGTGTCAACTTTGGGAGTTTTTAAAGTGCAGGGTGGGTGTAACCCTTTGTAGTGAATTTCTGGAGGCTGATTGTCATCACAATCGTGACTTCGATAGCGGATCTAACTGCAATTCTTGTTTTAACCTATTATAAACTATTATATTTATAAATTCTTTGTTTATATTAATCTAAACTTAACACCTAATAATACCTTCTTCTCAGGAGATCTACATTGTTCTATGCCTTTACTTGGGGTATGGCGGTGTTGTTTTAACATTTTATCGTCAGAGAGATGAGATGCCTCATGATCAGTATGAAAGCACCGGTTTACTTCGTAAGCACCCCTGTCTAATTCAATGGCCTGTCCTTATGAGGAACTGTGGTCCAGTGATCACAGGAAGTAGGTGATTTAGATTTGATTAACCTTACAAACGTTCTACTTTCATTGATTTTTAGTGACCCATTCATAACATTTTCATCGGAGTCTGTTTGGGTGGGTAATATAACCTTTTTTCTGATTACAACTTTTTGAATTTGAATTCAATATGTCCTCCTTCCAACAAAATGAAATAATACTTGTTTTGATTTTTATCAATTACAGTTCCTCACGCAAGGATTGCGGACACTATTGAGCATGAGAAGAGACCATCTTACAAGTAACAAAAACGACTTCAATTTGGACCTGTATAACAATTACTTAGTATCAAATGTTATTTTGTCATAAAAGTCACGCGTGTTCTTGAAGAGAAAACATCCTTCTTACAACATCAATCATATCTTTAAAACATGTATAATCCATCCGGAGCTTATATCCTGGTAACGTCTCATGTATCGTGTTATTGTAAGACCCCACAACAATACTGGCGCTGGATCACAAGGCGCTAGTTCTATCACAGCACTTGGATCGGCCTGCCTATATATAAACCTCGGCGACGGCTCGGATGCCACAACATCTCGGTGAGCGCAGGGGAGAGGCCGCATATTCCGGGCCGCTCACGCTTCGATCAAGCACCAGAACGACTACTACTACACACATACGTCGTCCGTGATGAAGGACTGTCGCATCATCTTCCTTGGATCAGAAAAGGTTGGCAAGTCCTCACTCATTCACCAGTTCATGGAGGGTTCCTTTACAGATGACTATCGCCCTACCGTAGAGGAAAGCTATAGAAGAATGGTTCGACTCCCAGGTGAGTTGAAAAAATAACATTTCTACCCTCGAGCTCGGGACGTTTCTTTGGACACCTAAATATTGTTGTTTGTAATTATGCTTCTGTGGATATGACTACACAATGCCATTTAGAATGTGATCAAATGAAAGAAATGTCATACTTGGGATTACACTCTCTTTGTAAACTTCAACTACCTCTTGGGTCCTATCCGTGACTTTCAGAGTGAGGCACCAAATCGTCAGCAACCTTACCCACTCAGCCACCGAGGTATCCACAAAAATGAAAGTCCGACCACTGGTAGTCTAGATCACGTACTTTGTGTACCCCTCTGAGAAATATATATTAGCACGGCTTCTATGGCCGAAAGCTATGAATACACTTTCAACATTCAGTGAATCTGTGTTTGGCAAAATAGTCAGACCATTTGTATATAGATATCCATGGTGTTCATTTGTAGATACCCTGTTGGATGTCGTTAATAACAATTAAATGATAACATGCTTCAAACTTGACACAGTCAAACGATCAACACATTATTCTCATTTTTAAAAACGCTGAATAGCGCTATTCCAGACGAATATACACCGCGTGTGGGATTTTGATGTCCAGTGTATTCAAAATACTGTGAGAAATGCAAATAGATGAACTTTGCAAACTAACATAAACCTAAAAACGTTAACTGGAAAACTTGTGTTAACCTACATGTGTTTTTATTGTAGTCCTCGCAAATCTGTACTTTTTCATTTAAAGAAAACAGTATCATTTACTCTGTTATTTGGTTTATGCTCACTTTGCTACAACATAACAGGAGATTAACACAGTTGCCGTGTTTACATAAGGGTAATGACAAAAGCACTCACAGAATTTAGTGAGTGAACTCAATTCAGGTTTCTGAGTATCAATGATCATGTGAATTGTGTTCACTATATGTGTTAAATCTATGAAATCCATCATGTGAGTAAACTCGGTTCTAAATTTATGTATGTTAGTATTAAGGCACTTGCAATTGAGTCAACAAACAATCAATGGGGTAGTATTTGAATACTGGGAACGCCAGTTGCCAAATGACATGTACCCTGTTGAGATCGTCCCCGACAGTTGTGGTGGTCGTAGCATTGTACACCATGAGAAAATGAGGAGATCCCATTTGTCAGCTTAAAGAGAACAAAACCTTATTGAGCAAACGTAATGTACGGTTATCTCGTACTAAAAAATGTAGTTATGCAAAGAACTTTCTGTATGTATATAGTGGTATTAGGGTATGAATGCCAACTGTGAGTGTACAGAATGGTGACATAATTCTTGCCGATTGTCCAGTGTTCCAACACATCATTAAATATTGATATTGATGTATGTCATGAATGTCGATAAAAAGAATTCACAATAGTGTGTAACATATATCTGATGTGTATTTTTCAGATGGTAACTATGCCAATATAGAGATTCTGGACACGGCGGGGCAATCCGACTTTCCAGCAATGAGAAGGTTGAGAATCGAGCACGGGAATGCATTCGTTGTCGTCTATGCTGTGAATGACGAACTCTCCTTCCAATCTGCAATCAGCCTCTGCAGGCTCATCTTCTCCATCAAAGGTGGGCGTAGCTTGCAACATTACAATGATACACTGTGCGTATTTTGTTGTTTTTGAAGAATATCAGTACAAATACAAAATTAATTTGGCGTACAATCCAGTTGTTATTCATTGTACTATAAAAGAATTTACTATTAGCATATTATATATACTGTAAGCAAAGATGTATAAATAAACTGTATATAATGCTATATATTAAATGCTGACAGTAAATGCTAATTAGCATGTATCTATATATGGTATATGGATAAATGTGATTAATGTATCATCCCAGCGACTGAATGTGAATCAGGTTGTTTACAACACACTAATTGCTAAACCTAGTAAACTGTTACAAGTACATGTATTGATAGGTTGCCATCTGACAGTAACCATAGATCGGTCTTATATAAAAAAATCTCCTGCTGCTTTTTTCTATAATTATATTCAACATAACCCAGAATTCGAAGCTTATTAACGCTGGACGATGGGGTAAGTAAAAACCTAAAGGACGACTAAGGACCAATGCCCTAAGAACAATGAAGCCCACTCACTCAAATACAAATTAATTCTTTCATTGCCAAATACTTATGGTTCTGGTTTGTGTTGCAGGTCGAGTGAATGTCCCTGTCGTCCTAGTTGGCAACAAGTTGGATTGCGACACGACTAGGAAGGTGTCTACCGAGACCGCCACTAAACTGGCCCTGGATGAAATGGGGTGTTCCTATGTGGAGTCTAGTGCCAAGTGTAACCTCAACGTTGACTGTTTGTTTGACGTACTGCTCCTCAAGAAGGTCCAACAAGAAGAGGTTCAGGAAGGTCAACCGAGGAAAACAAGGAGGAGTCATAGTTCAAGGTCATTGTGTTCCCAGGGTAGTAGCACGCGCAAACAGTTGCAGAGGAATTACAGCGTCTGCAGCTGTGTCATGGCAACGTCAGACAAGAAGAAGAAGCATGTGCATGGGTGCAAAATCATGTGACACTCGGTACACTGAGATTTACCCTAACCCCAGGGGTGCAAGATGCATTTTATCCAATATGAGCCAGTTCGGTTCGGATAGCTGCTGACGAGACTATGTAAAGTGCTGCAAGGTAAAGACGCCGTGATGTTATGATTGATCTCCTTGATACTCCGAGATGGCTTTGAGGAAAACTGTGACATTTGTAGGAGTGGATCGATAAAGCTTGATGACATTTGTTGGCTGATGGTAACGCGACACTCAACTGTATAAAGACATTGTGCTTTTAATGTCAGATTTCAGTCTGAAGTGCTGCACTATTTAAGTGGCCCCCCTGGAATGAGTCAACTCCTGCTAACGAGAAACCTGGTGTATATACCGCTAACATGGAAGAATTTGTTGACACATACAGCGAAACCCCATCATTCCAGCGTTGACAGTGACACAGTCCAGATTAACTGAATGTGAACGGAAAATATGTTGACGTTCACAACAGGGTAGATTCCCGGACGTAAGGACCCCCGGAAAGATGGGTATTGCAAATAACAATAGCAGATATCATCTGGAAATACACCGATGGTACCCATTGGAACCGGCAAACCTTGAAGAAAGCAAGCCCCGTATTAAGTCAATCCCATGTGATATTAAGACTTTCAATACTAGAGACACAGTATTGAACATATAATTCTTTTATACATTTTCAGTGTATTTCTACGTTATCCTCTGGGCGTATAGCCCATGTTATGAAGAGACAAAGTCAGCTGATGGCATTCATCATGACACCTGTCTCACCGTTCAAAATGAAAATAATAAATTAATATGCAAAGATATTTTCTTTGTTATTACAACAATATAGAAATTGTTGCCCTGTCGAATTTACATGTATACACAACGTATGCACAAGCGACATCTCACGCTTGACAAAATACTGGTATATAATTGCTTGAGACGGTCAAACTCTGGCTAAGTTAGGTTTGCTTGGTGTTTAAGGTCATTATTTAAGCTCAAAATGTTGCCGATAAAATGAAGATCCACACACGTCCAATTGAAATCATCGGAGTGTTATTTGGCACAGTTATTGTTGTATTAGTGTTGAGTAGTTACGTCGACTGAAATAGTAACACTACATCACTTATACTGACACGACGTTGCAAGACTGTACCGTACATATAAAATGACCTAACACCCCATCACATCCTGACGTGAGGCCGATGCAATAGTTTGCACACTCAATACGAAATGTCCCAACTTTGCATCACTTGTACTGACGTGATTCAATACTTTGTACAATAATACGAAGTGACTTGATGCGTCACATACCGACGTGTGGGCGATGCAATACTTTACACAATAGTTCAGAAATGTCCTACCATTGTATCACATACTGACGTGAGGACGATGCAAGTCAGCTCAGTTCGTAAATTAGGAGTATGCTAGTTCATCACTGATACTGACAAGTGAACAATGCAATATATTGTCAAAAACGGTGAGAAATGACAACTCACTTGCTAATAATGATATGCAAGCATTGTCATGTTTTCTCGAATATGTCAAAACTAGCAATAACAAATACATCACAGAATTTGATATGCGAACGATGCAGCGGTTTGCGCAATAGGTCACTTCTGGGTATTGTGTCACTTAATCAACTAAAAATACTTATATATACTCAACAATAAAAGTTCCTGTGACACCAATATTTTAATGTATTTTTCAAACACGTAAAGTTTTCAATATTATAGTACATGTATGGAATCAAGTCACAAAAACGCAACTGCTACAGAAAAGCATGCATATCATGCAAAAGTTGACGTTTATGCAAGCCCCATGCATTTCACTACCCAAGAATGGGTATAAAAACATGTGCGTTAACGGGATTCCATATGCATTGTTTAGCATCGTGCTGACAACCACTCAGAAAAACAACAAAATTACGCAATTATTATTATTATCAACATTACGAAATGCCACGCCTGTCCGAAAATGAGCGTCTGCGAGCCATTAGTATACTTGTAGCAGGATCGACGTAATGTTGCAAGACATTTTAACGTCCACGGAAACACCATTTGGTGTTTATGGCAACGTTGGCAACAGACGAATGCAGTCAGAGACCATCGTCGGAGTGACAGGCCACGCGTAACCAATAATGGACAAGGCAACTGGATTCGAACAGCACACCTACGAAATTGATTCCAGCTAGCAACAGTGACTGCAAGAAGCATCCCTGGCCTTCGACGAATATCTTCACAAACCGTACGTCGTCGCCGCCTCAGACGCGCAGGGATTGTCGCCAGAAGACCTGCAGACGGCGTCTACGCCGGGCGGCCATGCAGTGGGGACAAGTTCTATTCACCGACTAGTCTCGTTTTCACCTCAGCAACAGCGATGGACGGATTCGAGTGTACCGACGTTGAGGTGAACGTTAATCATTGTGTCATGGAAGAAGATCGGTTCGGGGGCGGCAGCGTTATGGTATGGGGTGGGATTACAGCAAGATAGAGGACCCGTCTGATAGTGGTAGAGGGAAATCTCAATGGACAGCGCTACCGCGACGAGATCCTCGGCCCTGTTGTTCTACCGTCATGGCCCAGGCATTACCTTTCCAACATGACAACGCCCGGCCTCATTGCTCGACTGCTTCAGGATCCTCTTCAACAAAACAACGTGAATGTCATCCTCTGGCCGGCTCGCTCCCCTGATTTCTCATCAATCGAGAACATGTGGGATGAGATGGATCGGCGCCTTCGACGTCAACCACGTGTTCCACAGACATTCCAGGAACTTCGAAACATGCTCCAGCAGTTATGGACAGATATCCCACAGGACTTTGTGCGACGCCTGGTCCATTCCATGAGACGAAGATGTGTTGCTTGCATCGCAACCAGAGGTGGACACACACACCATTGATTTGTAAATTGACATTTTGGCATGTTCATGTTTTTTTTTATATGAAATCACACATTTTCTAAAGTCAGTATAACAAGTTAAACCATTTGAACACTTAAAGGAGTCTTTTATTTTTTGTAAACCGAAATTGTTTCAGATTTGGTAAAAACAAAACTTTGCATTAAATCTTATTCAATGTCACAGCAACTTTTGTTGTCCAGTATAGACCTACATTTACGTTGCATAGGTGACATTTTACATTTTCGGTCGATAGTAAATTATCCAGTTAGTGTGTAGGGATAGGCATATATCTCGACGATGCCAGACATCCCCAGATAGGTTGAGCTAAAAACGACTCCGCAGAACCTACTTCATCTGCAGTGTGTAACATTCAAGCAAAAATATCAAGGGAACCCCTGTGTTGGTATCAGTTTACAAAATACAGCTGCAGCGTCGGTTTAACGAGATTCCTGTATATTCAGACGGTAGGAAGACACTAAAGATCTGGGATGGATTACGATACATGATCACTTTCATTTTAATGTAGATACTTTGGTATTCGATATGTGAGCATAAAACGCGAGTCACACATATGCATCTAATGTCTGCTCAAGCCATACTTATAATACGTTGTTGTTTTTACATCTTGAACTGATTACTTGATCATAGGAGACGCTTACCTTTTCGCGAACATCTGGTATCATCACTATTTGAGTGATTCATAAACAAATGCTCATGAATAGGAATCGAACAATTGACTCAGCAAAACTGATTATGCACTGAAATGGACCAGTAAACATACTGCACAACTGATATTGCAAAGACAAGGTCCAGCACACATACTGTCAAAACCCTATTTCACAGACTAGGTCAAGTAAACATACTGCACAACTGATAATGCACAGACTAGGACCAGTAGACACACTGTCAAGACCCTATTTCACAGACTAGGTCAAGTAAACATACTGCACAACTGATAATGCACAGACAAGGACCAGTAGACACACTGTCAAGACCCTATTTCACAGACTAGGTCAAGTAAACATACTGCACAACTGATAATGCACAGACAAGGACCAGTAGACATACTGTCAAGACCCTATTTTGCAAACTAGGTCAAGTAAACATACTGCACAACTGATATTGCAAAGACAAGGACCAGTAGACACACTGTCAAGACCCTATTTCACAGACTAGGTCAAGTAAACATACTGCACAACTGATAATGCACAGACAAGGACCAGTAGACACACTGTCAAGACCCTATTTCACAGACTAGGTCAAGTAAACATACTGCACAACTGATAATGCACAGACAAGGACCAGTAGACACACTGTCAAGACCCTATTTCACAGACTAGCTCAAGTAAACATACTGCACAACTGATAATGCACAGACAAGGACCAGTAGACACACTGTCAAGACCCTATTTCACAGACTAGGTCAAGTAAACATACTGCACAACTGATAATGCACAGACAAGGACCAGTAGACATACTGTCAAGACCCTATTTTGCAAACTAGGTCAAGTAAACATACTGCACAACTGATATTGCAAAGACAAGGACCAGTAGACACACTGTCAAGACCCTATTTCACAGACTAGGTCAAGTAAACATATTGCACAACTGATAATGCACAGACAAGGACCAGTAGACACACTGTCAAGACCCTATTTCACAGACTAGGTCAAGTAAACATACTGCACAACTGATAATGCACAGACAAGGACCAGTAGACACACTGTCAAGACCCTATTTCACAGACTAGGTCAAGTAAACATACTGCACAACTGATAATGCACAGACAAGGACCAGTAGACACACTGTCAAGACCCTATTTCACAGACTAGGTCAAGTAAACATACTGCACAACTGATAATGCACAGACAAGGACCAGTAGACATACTGTCAAGACCCTATTTCACAGACTAGCTCAAGTAAACATACTGCACAACTGATAATGCACAGACAAGGACCAGTAGACACACTGTCAAGACCCTATTTCACAGACTAGGTCAAGTAAACATACTGCACAACTGATAATGCACAGACAAGGACCAGTAGACATACTGTCAAGACCCTGTTTCACAGACTAGGTCAAGTAAACATACTGCACAACTGATAATGCACAGACAAGGACCAGTAGACACACTGTCAAGACCCTATTTCACGGACTAGGTCAAGTAAACATACTGCACAACTGATAATGCACAGACAAGGACCAGTAGACACACTGTCAAGACCCTATTTCACAGACTAGCTCAAGTAAACATACTGCACAACTGATAATGCACAGACAAGGACCAGGAGACACACTGTCAAGACCCTATTTCACAGACTAGCTCAAGTGAACATACTGCACAACTGATAATGCACAGACAAGGACCAGTAGACACACTGTCAAGACCCTATTTCACAGACTAGCTCAAGTAAACATACTGCACAACTGATAATGCACAGACAAGGACCAGTAGACACACTGTCAAGACCCTATTTCACAGACTAGCTCAAGTGAACATACTGCACAACTGATAATGCACAGACAAGGACCAGTAGACACACTGTCAAGACCCTATGTCAAAGACTAGGTCAAGTAAACATACTGCACAACTGATAATGCACAAACAAGGACCAGGAGACACACTGTCAAGACCCTATTTTGAAGACTAGGTCAAGTAAACATACTGCACAACTGATAATGCACAGACAAGGACCAGTAGACACACTGTCAAGACCCTATTTCACAGACTAGGTCAAGTAGACATACTGCACAACTGATAATGCACAGACAAGTACCAGTAGACACACTGTCAAGACCCTATTTCACAGACTAGGTCAAGTAAACATACTGCACAACTGATAATGCACAGACAAGGACCAGTAGATTCACTGTCAAGAC